AAAAAGTTTGGGAACCACTGTGCTAAATAAACAGGCAATTAGAAAATGCTGCACCCTGTGACGTCCAATTAAATATTATTAGAATGAACAAATGAAGGAGAATGAGTTGGGCAGGGCACGCATAACAGAGTCGTGATAGAAACATCGGAAGCAGGACACTAGAAAGACGTAGGCGTAGAAAGGATCTTAACTGGAATGAGAAGGTTTTGACTTGATTCATCTGGCTCTGGATAAGGACCAGTGGCGGGCTATTGTAAACATGGTAATGAACCTTGAGGTCCCATAAGATGCTCAGAATGTCTTCCAGTAGCTATGCAACAACTGGTTTCCCAACATGCACTGTGCTCCATGGATCTGGTTAGGCCCAGTTAGTTATTATGTTCAGTTTATTATTGGGGAATCATTATACAGAGAAAGTACCAGGAGGTCGAAAAAACTGCATAATGTGTTTCATAATTTCTACTCTTCACCAAATTTATAATGGTCAAATCAAGGAGGGTGGGATGAAAGGGTTATGTAGCACGCATCGAGAGACGGCAAATGCATTCAAAATTTACGTCGGAAAACTTGAAGGGAAAGAAGCCGTTTGAAAAACTGAAGCGTATTGAAGTATTTATTCTGTCATGTTTACGACGCTGTTTTAACTACATCATAATATTGATTAGCGTCTATTTATATGATAAAATAGTCATGAATGGAGAATACATAAGGATCTGTAAGGAACCAATCTTATCTTTCCCAGGCATTCGTCTTGACTGAGGAAAACCAAGACAACTATTAGTCGGGAGCTCAGTCGAAATTAGAACCGTGTAGCTCCGATATTCCGTTATAACAATCTGCTCAGCTGAAAGCTTTGTGTTCGAATCTCGGCGGAGGCCGGCTAGCCTGATGTTTTCATCGATGTCTCCTCTGGAACAATTGCGAACAACCGCTTCTTTCCACACCGTTTCTATTTCATTCAGGAATGAATATATTTTTATTCTTGGCTTTTTTTTTATTGCTAGTGGGGTGGGACTAAGTCCCTAGTACTGCGGCCACTTCTGGCCTATTGTACCAGCCCCACATGATAGGTGAGGGTGATTGTGGAGCAATTGGTGGAATGAAGATTGGCAGGGGAAACCAAAGTTCTCGGAGAAAACCTGCCCCAGCGCCACTTGGCCAGGCCCGGGATGGAACCCGGACCGCCGCGGTGGAAAGCCAGCGACTAACCGCTTGAGCTATGGCGCGGCCTATTCTTGGATTACTTAACGTTTTAAATTGCTCAGATTATAGGTCTGATGGTAGGATTAGTGAATAATGAAACGAAAGGAAGCGGTCGTGGCCTAATTTGAGCAGCTAGTTTGAAGAGGCGGTATCCAGGCAGAGATTATAACCCAGAACGTCCCGTATACCGAATCCTGACAAGAGTTTTTGTAGATGTTCTCGGTCCCAACAGGCAAATGCCTCGATAATACGCAGATTGAGGCCACAAAAGCTTTCTTCCCGATTCAGCTACAATCTCACATTCGACTCTGTATAGTATACAACCTAACGCAATACAACGAAGTAGGAGTCCTGCTACTGGAAGTTCCGTCATTCTGTGTAACTGAAACAGTCGGACTTGAGGTTCTCAAGTCGGTCTATATGAAGATATCTTCTGGGTTACAAAGCCGTGCAGTTCAATTTCGTTTCGTACGAACGTGTTGTCTTCAGCCTTTGTCGAAGAGCAAGCCAAGCTAGAAAGGCCGTGCCATAGCTCAGGCGGTTAGTCGCCGGCGGCCCGGGTTAGAGCCCAGGTGAGATCATGTGGTGGACAAAAGTGGCACTGGTGTACATTTTCTCCGAGTACTTCGGTTTCCCTTACCAGTTGTCATTCCACCGACTATTACCCAGGGCTGGTACAATAGGCCAGTTAGTGGCTGACGTACCAAGTGGACTCAGTGTCACCCCACCCGAAGAAAGTAATAAAAGAAGCTAAGCCAACCAAGAAGCAGGCTGATATCAGAGCCTCTGTCGTTAATCCTGTGACTGAAGTGAGTTGATCTGCCATTGTGAAACCTCAGCCTCAAATGCCAGAGGGCATGAGTCAGTCACAGAAATGTGAAATATTGCCAGGTTTAGGAGGAAATTGGCAGGGCGCGGTGTCGGACTGGGTGATTCACTTCTGTTTATAGGACAGGGGCTGAGTGTATTTCTGGAGAGAAGCAGGTAATACAGGAGTCAGGAACCTTCAGAGTTCAGCTGGTTCTCAGTTTGAAGTTGTTACGTACTATACAGCCTCCATCCATTGGCCATTCCGACTTATTCCGAAAATTCCCAGCATTTTATTGAATCCGAGAGTAAAAGGTTAAGTTGTCCCTGTGCTTAACTAATTAAGCGCTACGCCATGAAGACGTATAGAGGAGTGGATGTACAGATCAACGTTTTCTTGACCTCGGCACTGTGAGGTGAGTGGTCAGCTTCACGCCTCTTTACTCCCGGGGAAAGAGCCCAGGTACCCATTGGATAGGAGGCTGGGTGGACCCCAGAACCGGTCTGAACGACGTGGAGAAGTGGAAATTCTTGATCCTACCGGTACTCCAACTCCGACCCCTCGGTCGTCCTGCCTGTAGCCAGTCGCTATTACCGACTGCGCTATGATAAAAAGAGCCCTTCATTATCGAACAGGTTAGTCAAGCGGTAACAGCTGTGTTCGGGAGGTATAGCAAGTGTCACGTAACTTCGAACGAGGCCAAGAGTAACCCTGAATGCGCAGAAGAAAAATTTCAGACAAGGGGGTGGAGGGTGTGAGAAGTGACAGGCGGCCAGTGGAAGAACGAGTGTTAAGAAACTCCTCCCACCACAAGCTATGCGAGGGATTTGACTAGGAATGCGGGGCCTTGTTCGAAGTTACGTGACACTGTCTATACTCGTATCGAGTCTCGACCGGAACGTAGGCTATCCTTAAGTTCTTCGTGGTTTTCCTGTCTCTCCAGGCATTTCCGGGATAGTACGTCAATTAAGACACAAACGCTTCCCTCTGTCTCTTCCAATTCATTATCCATTAGTCATTCGACGTTATATCGTCTAGATGCTGGCTGAGTCGCAGCCGCTGTTATCAATCCAGAACACATACCCATCACATTTCTTTAAGATCCAGTTTAATACTATCTTCCCATCTATGCTTATGTTTTCCAAGTTGTTTCTTTCCTTCAGGTTTTCCTACCAAAATTTGGTATTCACTTCTATCACATAACTGTTACATATCCCCACATCTGCACGAATTGTGCAGCTCAGTGCGCTAACATTAATACTGAAATGATGACTGAAGGCTGAATTGCTGCTGAACCTCGCCAGCAGTGATTCTTGGTTTCGAGCCCGACGGGAATCATCAACGTGGTATGCTGTCTGACGGCTGTGGGAGCCTTCAGAGACTAAAATGGTGAGCCCTTTCCCTAGTACGTAGGTAAGTCAATAAGTAAGTTATAAATGGATATAGAACTTAAACAAATAAGAGTACTGATTTGAAAAATGCAATTATTTTTCAACATATCTCAAGTCGCTTGGAGCCACGGAGATTGCCACAGAGGCGAATGTGCAACGGGATGACGACTTAATCCGAACAGACAGAAGGGTAACTACAGACACTATAGCCACTGCTATTGGTTGTTCACACGGGATGGCCTACCTCATAATGCATGACAGGTTAGGTTTTCACAAAGTCTGCACGATGGGTGCCGCGCATGCTGACCCCACAACACAAAATGCAAAGAATGGGTCTGGCATTACAGCATCTCAATCGCTACCACGATGAAGGACACAATATGCTAGCCCGAATTGTCACAGGTGATGAGTCTTGGGTTCACCATTACCAGCCCGAGACAAAGCGTGCGTCAATTCAGTGGAAACATCCTGCGTCGCCTGCCAAAAAGAAGTTTAAGGTGACACCGCCTGGTTCCGATAGCAGCCCGAAGAATTTTATGCTGCTGGTTTTCAGGGACTTGTGAAAAGATGGGACAAGTGCCTTAATGTACAGGGAGATTATGTTGAAAAATAAGAGCATTTTTCAAAATCAGTACTCTTATTTAAGTTCTACAGCCATTTGTAACTTACTTATTGACTTATCCTCGTATTATTATGGGATGGGACAGACCAAACATGCAGCATGCATAGAAGAGATGCGAAATGCATATACTGGTAGAAGTCCAGTCAGAAAGCTTGAGGGAAATAAACAATTTCGAAAATATATGCGTACGTGGAAGACTGATATTAATGTTAAAGGTGGGAAGATAATATTAAAATGAATCTTAAAGTAATGGATAGGGTCATAGAATACACTGTATCTTCATCATAAAGACTAACCAGTTAATTCTCTTTGGAGAAATACCTGCTGCTTACTGTGACAAAACACATAAATGGATTGTGTGACTAAAATGCAAAGTTCCTTCAGTGGTAAAATAAATGGTATATATAGTTACCACTCAAGAGTTAAATGGTTAATCTCCATGTTCAAGCTGTCTGAAACAAGCCAAATGAAATGGGCATATGGTCTTTGAACACCCAAACAAGGGAACTGCATGTTCAGAACTAGCCAAAGCTTATACATGTATAAATGTCTGCAGTTTTCTGTATTGCATTCTCCTGCAGATATATGCCTTTGAATGGACTGATCGCCCATCCAATGTATTGGGATTCATACTTTCGGAATCTATTTTTAATTGGAAAAAGGTAGAGGGTCCAATCCATGATAGCTAAAGAATAAAATTCATATGAAGGGACCCAATGTAATATAAAGATCTGAAGAACAACCGAAGTGATAAGCACCATACATGAAACAGATTCCATGGTCTCCTAAAATGATGTCTGCTGCCATCATCATTACTACAGCAATTCCATTGGTGTGAGAGTCAGAGCGAAGAAATATGCAATTTCATGTAAGATTTTTTTTATATATGCAGATAACTTATCATTTAAGTTGTCTTCACAGTAAAGGTTTTAATCAGGTCCAAATGGATTGGCAGGTGATCTAATAAGTACACAGCTTTTTATATACTCTTCAGTATTTTAGTCGTCTGAAATTTTGTTCCATAATTACTCATTTACAAATTCTGATGTGGAAACAGTATGAAATAAAATAAATTAAAAGGAATGTCTGTCCCCTCATTTTGTGATTCCATATATTATGTATGTATGTATGTATGTACATATGTATAATATATCTTTCACCATCATCATCTCACAAATGTTCAAACAAAACTTCAGTCGTTTGTCTACCAGACTGTACACAACTCCAAGTGTTCAAAATGGTGGCTATGTATTTTCTTTATAACCGCTATTACAAAAATTCTCTCAGTCTAAAAGAAAAATAAAACACACACACAAACCATGTGCCTCTTTATAAACCCCTAAAATAATAATAGCAATAATAGTAGTAGTAATAATAATAATAATAATAATAATTCAGAGAAACAGACAGAAAAGTGAAATGTAAACACAGCCATATAACCCAGATGAACGACTAGATTCACTGCCGCAGACCACTCCGTGTCCTGTAAATATTATCCAGGGAGGGCATTGGTCAAATATGTACAATATATAGTGATAAATATTATTTAGTATATAATATTCAGGTATGATGGCCGAATAAAAAAAAAGTGAAACAAAATGTTACAAAGGTAATTCACTTTTTCATGGATTGCTCCTCCATTTATGTATATATTTATTTCTTTAATTATACTGAAAATTATTAACTTTTTGATCAGCGCCATACTAATGTTCCGACATCATGGCACAAACTGTCTCCTCACACACCACACATACACATACCTCACCACACAAAAGTCACAAACAGTTGAAAGTCAACATCCATTGCCAACTCTGAATTATCTGTGACTCTGCCATTAACTAGTCTCTGGCTTTTATTCTAAAAAAGTTACAAATAAAACAAACATTTTACAAAACTGAAATTTATTTTCTATATAATGCAAGCTAAGAGCTCTTCATGGATTATCATTTGTGAAACCTACTCTCTTTAAATAAATACATGAATATATTCAATATTCTATTAGTATTTAGGCCAAGTATATATTTTCTCTTGTAATTGACATTCCATTATGGTTAAGTGAGAGTCCCTTATGTAGAGAATTCAAAATTACTGTGAAGTAGAAGCAGATATTCATCATCTGTTGTGACTAATTTTTGTTTCCTTAAATGATTTTAAAACCTCACAGAAAAATGTGCTTTTAGTTCTCTGAGATCTTCTATGTGCCAAAATTCTCTCTTTTTCTGAAATGCAGCCATGATGTGATTGATCTTCCTCAGGCACATTGGCTGTATGATATCTTAAAAGAACTTATAAGGCAGCATACCTCACAGACCTAAAATTCATCAATCAGTCAATACAAAAATTCCACTTACAATTTTATTACAAGCTTTTATCTCATACATATAACAGAAAAGGCACATACTGAATTTACCTTAGGCCTACATGTACATATGTATAAAAGGTAATGTGTTGTTATTTTGATTATATAATTTTTCTAACAGTGGTGGATATGTGTGCCTCTTAAATTCCATTCCATTGCATCATGCACAATAAATAAAAATGAAACCCGTGTTATAAACATTCGTGACTTCTCAATACAGCTAGACATCTTCCATTATCATCATCTGCTTACATGGGGTTACAGATTTGAATCAAAAGTTTCTCATCCCTTATATGTACACATCTGTCCAGTTTCAAAAGTTCAAAAACCAAGGTTTAATCTAACTTTATCTCTGTCCACTAGAAAAACAGAATTAAAGAGGCATTCAAATTTGTCCCACATAACTTCCATTTCTCTCTACTTGGCGACTTTCCATGACACTTTACATACTTATATGACTCCCACAGTTCAGAACACATTGTATAATACTAATCTTCTCCTTGGTGCTCATTCAAATGCCATGTTACTGTATTAACATTAACCATCAAATATCACTCAAATTGGGAACAGATTTTAGGAATTGTTAAGTTTATGTTTCTTCGCCCCTCTACTGTCTTCTGACAGTAAGCGACTACAAGCAGAAATCTACCTCCACACTTCATGAAATACCCGCCATTACCTATACACCACGTGGGCTGGCAGGGAACAGGGTACGCCAGACATTTGCCCCAGCATACAAATTTTTGGAAGAAATCAAAATTGAAAAAATGAAGGAAATAAGCATTTAAAGGTTACTTTTTTACACTTAATATTCAACGACGTTCACTAAAATTTGTTTTCAGCGGCTTGTAAGCATATTTCCTTGCTACTCACCCATCCCCATACTGTACCCATCAAATTAGAACTGTTACTTTCTAGCACAATCATATCTTTAACATTTTTCTATGAAAAGGTGTTTTAAAATACAAGTAATAATGCATCTGAGAAGGAGAACTTACACGCGACACTTTTATTAGGCAGGGAGTAACACCTTCATTATACTGAAATCTCACATATTTCCAAATTAAAAATGAAATGAAATAAATACCACCCACTGTCTTTGAGATGTGACATTGTGTAATCTTGTAGAATATCATTATGAATGTTCAGAGAAACCAGCTGTCTCCATCTTCAGTCCACCCTGAAGATGGAAGCAACAGATTTGTAGGACATATTAGTAACTATCTGACTACGCGGCGTTAACATTCCAGAAGAGATAAATCTTCATAGCCACCTCTGCAATAACCTCAAATAAACGTTAAAAAAAAAACAGATATGACATCATCTTACTATGAACTTTGAAACACGTGGGGCCTACATACAGATCCGTTTGCACTAAATTTGGTATCGTCTCTAGATATTAAAGGAGGAATATCTTTGAACAGTTCTTTCCGTAACAAGTAGCTTCACCATACTGTGTTCACTTAGAAATTCGGAAAATCTGTTCCCGATGCTATAAAAGTGATGGAGCTTTATCAGCCTCCCTACACGTTAGAATGCAAAATCCTCTGGAGCAAACTTTAAAATCCATCAGTTGGATATGTCCGTCAGAAAGGCTGCCATGACGAAGACCTCGCGTGCTGCAAGTTCCATAGAGACATCCTGATTGGTGGATCTACCTCCACTGAGATGCTCATGCCAGATTTCCTCAAGACATGCATAGGAACTGAACGCTGCCAAACGGTAAGACGCTGTGTCTGATTATGTAGTTCAGAAGGCACAGATCCTGCGTGGATGTCGGTCCATCCTTGTCATCAGATACGAGGAGCAGCATTCCTCGACAGACTAGCAGGCCCCGTGATGACTAGTCGTGCATTACACACTGCAGCCTGACGAGACCTCCTCGTTGGACTGGTGAGTCCAACGACATTGATGACAGGCCGGCTTGCAATCCGCCGACTCAGGTGGGCTCCCTAATGTGCCTGCTGTGGCCCGCAACCCCTGCTCCAACTCCAGCAGCTGGCCCATGAAGTTGAGGTTCGGAGATATGATCGGCCGCGCGTTCTTGACAAGCTTGTACGCCTCTACCATGGTAAGCAGCTTGTGCTTCATGATGTACGCAATGGTAATTGTTGCGGAACGCGACACCCCGGCCTGGCAGTGCACGAGTACGCTTGCGCCGCTATTACGCGCCTCCTCTGAAACAACACAAGGCAAACACGTCATACAACATGTTGACTTGAAGGTCACGACAATTAATAGCACTCTCTTATAAGTATTGTATCCACAACATTAATACTCGTATGTTACTCTGATTGGTTGGTCATGTGGATCTAGAAGGGGACGAAGCTTGCATAGAATTTCTGTAGAATACAGAATACCATATACGCCTGACATTTATTTTGTATGGGTGTGAAACTTCACAACAACACGCTCCGAGACAGAAGACTGCCATCTCTTGGGATGTTACACCGTATAGTCTGGTACATTAACGAAATTTCGAAGAAATACTGTCTCCATCCTCATGGTAGACGAATTAACAATAAGAACAAAAAAGCCAGCAGTCTTTGTCAGTGCATCGTGTCTATTCTGTGAGTACTGATATTTCGACATGGACATGCGCGTTATAGTATGCTCTATAAAGGTGGTGGTTTACGACTAAGTTCGTGCGTGTTACTCGTGGGAGATGGCGTTAAATGTCGGCCTCAACCTATCACCCGGTAACATGTAGGACTGTAAAGGAATATGGGAGAAAGCGCACGCAGTTAATGGTACGAAAGTTTATCTCTTGCTGAGACTTCCCGCTGAATTCTCAGCAGGTGTTACAGTAGTTTTGTTGTATGTTATAAAATGTAGTTTCTGTTATCAGATCACTGTCCAGTGCCCCCCCCCTCAAATCGTAAATATGGCCTACTTATGTATGGAGTGACAATGGATTACGTGTGAAAGCCATTACCTCCACCTTCTTATCATATGCATATCCCTACATACGCTGTGAAAATGTAACATTCCAAGCACAAGGAAATCTTCGGTTGTCATTCGTTGTGGAACAATGTATGCTGACCCCGTACAGTGTCTTCATTTGTTACACTGCACAAAAGAACACAGATTTGACGTCAAAAATAAGCATTGACGTCAGTAAAATATCTTGTTTTAACCTCCCATAGTTTAAACTGTATTCAAAACAATATCAACTTACACACGTATAAACAAGTGTTGTATCTACCGAATAAACTAACTCCCTCCTTCTAACTAGCCAGGTGCCGGGTCAGAGATGAGGCCCTCAAATTAACAAAAGTGGTTGTGATAATCTGCTGCCTACTGAGAGCTACAACAGATGTGTGGAGAAATGGTCCTACTCTAGTGCCACTTCGTCCGCCATGAACCCCACATGAAGTCACGAAGGTCTAAACTCGAGGCTCCGCGGTAAGAAACCAGCGTCTAACCGCTCAGACCATGACAAGGGCAAATACGAGGTTTAGTGAATATTTTGGAATTGGTATAGAAGCGTAGGTGGGTGGACAATATTAAAATTGATCTTAGAGACATGGATTGGATTGATCTGGATCAGGATAGGGACTAGTGGACGGCTCTTGTCAACACGGTAATGAACCTTCGGGTTCCATAAAATGCTAGAAAATTCTTGAGTAGCTCAAGGAGGGCAAGTGGTACAGAAGAGACGCCATCCAGATAAGGAAGGTGGTCGCTGGCAATACATTCACTCCCACATGTCTTCATCGCGTAGTGCTTAATTAGTTAAGCAAAGGAACAACTTTATCTATCTATGGCTCTACAGCCCTTAGTTAGGCCTTGACAGCTTTTCAGTTTCTTAATTTTTACACAGGAAGCACTCCTTGGACGGGAGACCAGCCCGTCCCAAGGCCGCTACCTACATAGAGAACAGCACAAATACAGAATAAACGCATACACATCCATGCTTCAGGTTGAATTCGATCCCAGTGCTCGAGCGGGCGAAAATGGTTCATGCTTCAGACCGTGCGGCCATTGTGATCGGCGAACTTTACCTATAGCTTTACCAAATGTTACTTGCAGGCTCTAGCAAACACGGCAGTGAAACTTCGGGTTCAAGATAAGAAATTTCTTGGGCGACCATTAAAATCTCAATGAGAACTCGTTACATGGAGTTACTGTATTTCGCCTCTGTTTTCTAGTGGTCAGCGTTCCTGGCTACAGATATAGAAGTCCGGCTTCGATTCCCAGCGCTACGAGATTTTTTCTTAGAAGTGGTGGGTCTGAAACTGGGTCCACTCAGCCTCGTGATGATAATTGAGGAGCTATTTCAAGGAAATAGCGGCTCCGGTCTACAAAACCGAAATTAACGGCCGTGGGCATTAGTTGCGCTGACGACGCGAGACCCTCTTTCCATTAAAGTTGGCACTAACTTCGCCGACAAACGGCGGTCGCTCGGTCGGTACAGTTCGCTGGCGGACTAAAATCGCCAAATTTGTTTGTTTGCTTTGTTTTATAACTGAAAGGAAAGGAAGCCGGGGTATATCAGTCAGTACAGCGAACAGGCTGAGGAATGGGCTGCAGCAGAATCCGGGTTCGATTTCCCGCACAGGTACAGTGGGGTTACAAAGGCTGTTTCCCCAGAGGTAAAGCGGTAGGGAAGTGAATCTGTCACTTCTGTCTAGTGCCGTGGCTGAGAATGCTTCATGTTCTATAGGTATGGGTGCTCTCAAAATCCAAGCTATACAGCGTAAAATTACAAAACCATTAATACTGAATTTTAAATGAGTGGGAAGGAAGTGGTTTTGACCTAATAGTGAAACTAAACCGGCATTTTCCAAAAGGGACTACCACGAAAATCTGTCAAGATAACTTGTGTCCCTTCCGAGATTCAAACTGAACACCTCCTGAATAGAAGTCTCAGAGCTACGCCACTGTCCCAAGCTTTCATGTCGTAGAACAACGACAACTTTATGAGAGAAAAAGGCCAAGCTATTTTTGTGTATGCTACTGTAGTGATATAATAATGTGATATAACATGCAGGTACTTTGTTCGTGTTGAGAATAGGTTTAGAAGCACTATATTCAGTGGAGAGAGAAAAAAAACGAACGTCCTTTGAAAGGCAAAGAGCGAGAGAGAGATATCGACTCCTCCAACTTGCCTGGAGTCGGTGAGTCATCGCTGGAACATGCAGCCAGACATTCCGACAGAGAGCCTTCTCTGAGCAGGGTGGAGTTTCGAGGGTTTAAACCACGCGGGAACATCCTTCAGAGCTGGGGTTTCTTTTCTCATATTTTGAACTATATATAAAGAGACGTTCTGTAGAGAAAATAATACCAGGCCATCCGGGAAAGATCCCCCCTTAAGCACACATGTAGTATATGTGTATTATTTACTTAGTCTCATGAATTACTGGTTGGCGCCATTCCATGAAGACGCAGGGGGACGGGATATAAACTCCATGTCCCCATACGCTTTCATGGCGTGGATATCAGGTACGAGTAGCAACATTACGTTATCTAGGGTAACTTCCAGGATCTGACGCCGTGTAGTCCGGTGGAAGTTCACGGACGTTTCGGAGGGGCCGAAGATAACCAAACTCATGCCATATTCGTTTACTGTTCTCCTTGTTCCTAATGGTTACCTCTGGGCTCCTGCCTATATCTATCTATCCATCCATGGCTCTACAACCTTTGTTGGATCTTGACCGCTTTTCAATTTCTTACTCGTATGAACAGTCGGTACGACTCCTTGGACGGGGGATCAGACCGCGGTAAGGCCGCTACCCACACAGGACAGCACGAACACAATAAAAGCACACAGACATCCATGCCTTGAGTGGGATCTGAACCACAATCCCAAAGTTCATGCAGACGAAGACAGTTCATGTCTTAGACAGCGCGGCTACTGTGATCATCCCTCTGGGCTCCTACCCGGACTTATACTTAACCAAGTCTTTCACGCGAGGCTCACTCAGCTGCCTGCTTGGTTAGCATGCTTTCAACCCTGAAGATGGTGGCTGTATGTTTCTCCGAAATGTCAGTGAAATTCTATGCGATTACACGGCGTCACACCTCACCATCACCGCTGTGAGAACCTCAACTCCATTATGTTCCACTGTTTCCAAACGTAATAACAGAGGCTATTGTCTGCCGTTTCTCAGAAAGACACACTTGGCTTTCTAATTAAGAGAGGAGAGAGGATCCAAATTTCTACCCAACCAGGGGGTCTTTAACCTTTTCGCAGAACTAACACATTATTTGTTACAATGGTTACGGGTATAATCCTCCGGAGAAGGACGTGCATCAACACAATACAACATATACAGAACTTTAGTTCGCACCTCACTGGAAACAAGCAACGTTTCCCAGACGATGACCAACTGGTTAATGCCGTTTGGGGAAATAATACGTATTTATCTTGAGAATCATACGAAAGACATATGTATACAGTGCAAGCAAGATGTAGATTTTTTTAACGTTGAAGCAAATGGTATACACAGTTACCAGTATGTATTAAAGGATCCAAGAAAATCACATACATTCCCCCCCCCCCAATTCATTACACTATGAAGTGGCAAGTTCAGCTCGATGTACTATGAATCACCTTTGCCCCCACATGGAGACGCGTGATTGGGTCTTACTGGGGATGTTTGACTCATTCTGCACCGCGGGGGATCTTGGAAGTAAGAGGGACACTTGATAATTGACAACTAATTGTTGTCTCACTTGACGCGCCCATCCAGTGGCTTTTCGTTCAATCAACTCCAGCTGTTTAGACAGGCTGACAAACTGAAGATCTCTATGCACCCTTCAAACACAACTTCTGAAGCTTCTAAACCGCCCCACACTTCAAAAAGTATGACGCAGAAGAGAACGAAAAACACTAGAGGGCGTGTGGAATTCATTTCCTCCCCCTACAGTCTATTTCATGGATTCAGAATTGACGTCACAACCGATCTACCAGAAGTCCTATTCAGCCACTTACTCCATATCCGCTACAGTCTCGCGATGCGTGATAGTGTAACAGTACCATCAATCCCCTGTACCCCAATTTGTACTTCCCTACCGGTTACAACCACAAGCTACTTCTCCCTGTCATGGCGGGCTTACTGAATCGTTAAAGCAAACCGTTTGGACGTAATGCCTGAAATATCTTGTGCTGAAGTCGACAACGGGAAATAAATGCACAGTTTAATTGGCCGTGCATTACTTACTCTGTCGTGTG